AACGATATTTAGATGTAAACTTCACAGAAACAATGTTATTGGACGTTATTTTATGTCTACTTTCATATTTACTATGTTTTTGGTATTACAATACATTCTACACATCTAAAAACGAAGTTCACTAAATAAGAGCCATTTCTAACGTTTTCTGGATATTGCGCTTTTCTAAAACAAATCGGCATTTCTAAGCAGCGCAACACTGCCTTTAATATTTCTTTTATGTTTTAAATTCTTTTTAACTTGTACTTAATTAACATAGACATTGGAATCATGAAATGGTGTCGGTTTGCGAGCGATTGGCAATCATTCGTAAATTTCAACACAGTTCATGAGTTACAGTGCGTGACCGATTTCATGAAATGTTGGCCAAAATTCTGAAATGTGTTTTCGATTAGGAATGATTACTTAGGTGGGGTTGTAATATTGATTAGCATGCAGCATAATTCTATAGCATTTCGGACTCACCAGGATGTCGGCTTTTGATGCACTCCTTTCTGATCTTCTTCAGAAACTGCGACCTGCATAAAATGACTACTTAAGTATCATGCTTTTTTCGTTATGATTTTCGATGGTGTTAGAAATTCAAATATATTTTATAGAAAGCGTGCATAAGAATATGCGTTCGGCAGAAAACCGCACTGTCTTCGTATTGTATACCTGAAGAAAGTGTATATTTAGCTTTTAAAAGAGTTTTCCAATTCCCGAATAATTTTGAGCAAGATCTGCCACTGCATTAGCTTTTAACAATGTCAATTTACAAGGTGCATGCTTTCCGCGCAAAGGAAATAATATACTCCTTTATGCCTTTAAGAAGATGCCATATAGAGTTCATAAAATTTCGCAATGCATCCGGACTGTGTTGTATATTTAATGAGAAGCCTTGGTAAACGGACATGTACGATGTTGCATATATGGACATCGCACGGTCTTGAAAATCTCCTAATTAGAAACTTTTTTAACACCCAAATATACACTTTCTTCGGGTATACAGTATGAAGACAGTGTGGTTTTCTGCCGAAAGGGTAAAAGAAGGCATATTCTTGTGCACGCTTTCTATAAAATATATTTGAATTTCTAACACCATCGAAAATCATAACGAAAATGCATGATACGTAAGTTGCCATTTTATGCAGGTCGTGGTTTCTGTAGAAGGTCAGAAAGAAGTACATCCAAAAGCCGACATCTTAGTGAGTCCGAAATGCTATAGAATTATGCTGCATGCTAATCAATATTACAACCCCACCCAAGTAATCCTTCCTAATCGAAAACACATTTCAGAATTTTGGTAAACATTTCATGAGTTCGGTCACGCACTGTAGTTAACGCACTGCACATCGGCCTGGTCGGTCATCTGACGATCCGTTGAAGTGAAATCGGCGAGCTTTCGCATGGAATTCGGGGGTGCCCCTGTCGCGCTGGCCTTACCTGTTCACACACACCCTCCAAGGGTATTCAGATGTCACATGGCCCTGTGCTGTCACTGTGAGCATTCACTAAAATCCATGGCAAAACAGCAGAGCTCAATCCCCCACTCACTCAACACAAACACAAAGGGCAGGATGTCTGTACAGTGCGTGACCGATCTCATGAAATGTTAGCCGAATTTCTGGAATATGCTTCCGACTAGGAAGGACTACCTAAGTGGGCTTGTCATACTGATTATCCTACAGCATAACCCTATAACATTTCGGACTTTTCAGGATGCCGGCTTTTGAATGCACTTCCTTTTGACCTCCTACAAAAACCACACTAGGTAAAAAATGACTACTTAATTAGCATGCTTTTTTCCAATTGATTTTCGGTGGTCTATATTTGATAGAGAACATGCACAAAAATATGCTTTCTTTTGCTCATTTGGTAGGAAATCACATTGTCTTCATATGCCCGAAGAAAGTGCATATTTTGGTTTTAAAAAATTTCTTATTATGAGATTTTTAATACTGTGCGATGTCCATGCATGCAAGACCGCAAAATGTCCGTTTACTAATGCTCCTACTGAAATTTACAACACAGTCCGAATCCATTGCAAAATTTCATGAACTCTATGTCATATCTTCTTAAAGGCATAGAGGAATATATGATATTCCTTACGCTGAAAGCATGCACCTTGTAGACTGAAATTGCTAAACGCTGATGCAATGGCAGGAATTGGGAATTGGGAAACTTTTTCAAAACCTAAATGCACACTTTCTCCGGGCATAAAATATGGAGATAATGTGATTTCCTACCAAATGAGCAAAAGAGCGCATATTTATGTGCACGTTTTCTATAAAATGTATGTGAATTTATAAGACCATCCCAATTCCCGAATAATTTTCAGCCTAATCTGCCATTGCATCAGCGTTTAGCAATTTCACTCTACAAGGTGCACGCTTTCCGCGTAAGGAAAATCATACACTCCTCTACGCCTTTAAGAAGATACCACAGAGTTTATAAAACTTTGCAATGGATCCGGACTGTGTTGTACATTTCATGAGGATCATTAGTAAACGAGCATGTACGATTTTGTATATATGGACATCGCACGGTCTTGAAAATCTCCTAATTAGAAACTTTTTCAAAACCTAAATATACGCTTTCTTCAGGTATGCGATATGAAGACAGTGTGGTTTTCTGCCAAATGAGCAAAAGAAAGCATATTTTTGTGTAACTTTTTTGTAAAATATATTTGATTTTATAAGATAATCGAAAATCAATAGGAAAAATGCATGCAACTTAAGTAGTCATTTTCTACCGAGTGCATTCAAAAGCTGACATCCTGACAAGTCCGAAATATTATAGGGTTATGCTGTAGGATAATCAGTATGACAACCCCACTTAGGTAGTCCTTCCTAATCGGAAGCATATTCCAGAAATTCGGCTAACATTTCATGAGATCGGTCACGCACTGTATGTTGGTTCACTCGGTGGCACATAGTAGGGCACTGCTAATCAGTACAGAATCATGTGCCACTCATGAAGCTAGCATGCAATGAAAACATCCTTATGGTACGCGAGTCATCATGCGTGAGAAAGTGCACGCTTCAGTTATATGAAAAAGTGCAATTTGCGAATGGGAGCGAATGCGCGAGTTCCAGGGTCTTGTTGCAAAGACGGTGAATGCGCGATCACTGGGACAGTACGTTTACCAGTCGGAGCTTTCAGTCTCGTACAGAAGACCACCATCAGAGACTGCGAGAATGCGACGTCAAATGAGCAGTTTTGTAGTCGAACAACGAAAGGGCGGGGGGATGGGAGTGGAGGTGGTGGTGGTGGTGGTGGTG